AAGAAAAAAAGAAAGGAAGGAAGGAAAGGGGGAAAGGCATGAGGGAAAGGAGGGTAGAAAAAGAAGGAAAGGAAGAAAGAGAAGGGGAAGGGAGGGAAGAAAGGGGAAAAGAGAAAAGAAAGAAAGAAGAGAGGGGAAATGAGGGAAATGAAAGAAGAAAAGAAAAAGCTACAAAGTAAAGGAAGAAGGTGGGAAAGAAAGAATAAAAGAAAAAGATAGAGAAGGAATGAAAGAAGGAAAGAAAGAGCCACAAAGAAAAAGAAGAAGCAACGAAAGAAAGATAGATAGAAAGAAAAAGATAGAGAAGGAAAGGAAGAAAAAGGAGGGAAGGGAGGAAAGAGGGAAGAGAAAGGAAAGAAAGAGGAAAGAAAGGGAAAGGAAGGATGGAGGAAGGGGAAGGAAAGGATGGACAGATAGATAGGAAGAAGGAAGGAAGGACCAACCTCCTTCTGCCATAAGGAAGGGTAGAATTATTGCTGTATTGTGATATATTGTTGTTGTTGTTGTGTCTCTTTTTCAGGGTATTTTAGTCACTCCGCTCCGGGCCCTGCATGCCGTTCCTCCTCTCGGCGCTCCTTCTACGAACAACCAGGGCCTTCAACCGGAGTCAGAGGCAGATCTTTCTCCCGAGGCGACCACCTCAATCTGGGATTGCTTTTCCCCCATTGCTATTCACCCAGCCTTTGCGGAGATTGGCTCTCCTTCCTTCCCAGATGGCGGAGCAGCGCTACTGTGTGGACTACGCCAAGCGGGGCACGGCCGGCTGCAAGAAGTGCAAGGAGAAGCTGCTGAAGGGCACGGTGCGCATCGGGAAGGTGGTGCCCAACCCCTTCTCCGAGTCCGGCGGGGACATGAAGGAGTGGTACCACGTCAAGTGCGCCTTCGAGAAGCTGGAGCGCGCCCGGGCCACCACCAAGCGGATTGAGGACCTCACCGACCTGGAGGGATGGGAGGAGCTGCAGGAGCCCGAGAAGGAGATGATCAACCAACACATCGCGGGTGAGGGATCTCAGCACATCGAGGGAGGGAGGGACAGAAAAGGAACAGAGGGCCACAGGGATGGAAAGGAGGACCCACAGGGACAGTCAGCTGGACTCATAAGACAGAGAGAGGGAATGGTATGTACTTAGGTAGAATAGTGGATGGATGGATGGAGGATGGATGGATGGATGGATGGATGGATGGAATGCTAGACTTGGAAGGGACTCCAAGGGTCATCCAGTCTCATCCCTAAGAGAGAGAGAGTTACATGGATGGATACATACATACATAGATATCTCCAAGGGTCATCCAGTCCAACCTCTAAGAGATAAATAGATACATGGATAGATACATAGATGGAATGCTAGACTTGGAAGGGACTCCAAAGGTCATCCAGTCCCACCCACAAGAGAGAGAGAGATACATAGATAGATATATAGGTGGATACATACATAGAGAGAGAGAGAGATGGATATCTCCAGGGGTCATCCAGTCCAACCCCTAAGAGAGAGAGAAGAAGAATCCTAGACCTGGAAGGCACTCCAAAGGTCATCCAGTCCAACCCCAAGAGATAAATAGATACATGGATAGATAGAGAGATGGAATGCTAGACTTGGAAGGGACTCCAAGGGTCATCCAGTCCAATCCCCAAGAGATAGACAGACACATACATACATACATACATACATACATACATACATACATAGAATGCTGGACTTGGAAGGGACTCAAACGGTCCCTAAAAGAGAGATAGATACATAGACATTTACATAGATAGATACTTAGACAGCCCAACCCCTAAGAGAGAGAGAGATACATACATACATAGGCAGGGAATGGCTTGTATTGGACTGCCATTGAGGGTTTGGGGGGAACGAGATTGATGCGACACCGGTCTCTTTTGCAGAGCTGAGCTCAAAAGCCTCCAACACCCCCAAGAAGAAGGCAGTCGTCCAGGCCAAGATCTCTCCCGGCGGACAAATCACCTCCCCAAAGAAGACGCCGGCCGCTTCTTCCGACCCGCCCAAGAAGTTCTCTGGATTTACAGGTGCATTATCTCCATTCAAAATCTGGTATCGCATCCCATCAATTTGTGGTCAGCTTGCCATCAGTTGGGAAGAAGGCCTTTGAAGGACCCACAAGGACAACTGTTTTGATCTTAAATCCACAATTAATGTTTCTGTGGATGGGCTGTCAAGTTGACGGTTGACATATGGCAACCCCATTATTTCCTTTAGAAATGGTTTTGATGGGTCTTTACTCTGAAATATTGCCTATGGGTTGGATTATATGGATAATAATAACATCATCTCCCATGCAAGTCCTAACCAGGGTTGAGC